GTTACTGTTTCATTAAATTGACTAGCGATGAAGGAGGGCAATCTATTTTTAGAATTAATGCAACTATGCGAACTACAAAGGATACGCCACGTACCATACAGAAAGCAACGGCGTAGACAAATGATGGCACTGTTCTTTAAAATCAGCATTTTCGGCTCGCCTGGAGGTCCACTCTATTTTAACGAAAAACGAAATTTCCATTGAAATTTCGCACGTTCCTTACTCTGTTCCCTTTTCATTTCGAAAATTCGTTCGTCCAAAATAGTTTGACAATTAAATTCTCCAAGCCTACTCTAATTCACAAAAAAAAACAGAGGAAAAATTTAATTTGACAGATGAACGACAAATTTAGCTTGACATACAATATATTGTATCAACTCTACAAATTATTCGGCTAACACTGTCAAAGAAGATTCTTTCAATGACATCAAAAAATTTGCCGTAAACTACTTTTTTGTTCCAAGTAAAAAAACATAATCTTAAAAGTAGAGATAAATACGACTTATTCCATTCGTTCACGAAAACTGTTTGTGGTTCCGAAGTTAACGTAACGTGCCTGTTCGAAAATGAAATAGAGTAGTCAATGGCGAATTTTGGTAACGAACGAATTTTAAACGAAATTTCGCCATTGACTCTTTTTCATTTCCGAACAGGCACATTAACTCCGGAACTTACTTAAGAAAACGTTTTTTTACTTGGGAACAATAAAGGTAGTTTACGACAAATTTTTTGATGACATTGAAAGAACCTTCTTTGACAGTATTAGCCGACTAATTTGTAGAGTTGATACAATCTACTGTATGTCAACCTAAATTTGTCGTTTAATACTTTGAAGTATCGAAATTACAATAACTAATGAAGAAATGGTTTATTTGTTAATTTTACATGCTAAAAATGTTTCTCGAGCTAAGCAGCTATTATTAATTATACTCTTGCAAGTATTTTAGGCTTAATTAAAACAAAAATCTCCAAACGAAAATGAAAAGGTAACACTTTTCATTTCGTCAATTTAAGGTTAAAATTTCGAACAATTAACTGTCAAATTCAACTTTTCCTTTGAAATTTTTGTGAATTAGAGTAGGCTTGGAGAATTTAATTGTCAAACTATATCGATCGAACGAATTTTCGAAATGAAAAGGAAACAGAGTAAGGAACGTGCAAAATTTCGATCAAATTTTCGTTGAAATAGATTAGACATCCAGATTGCAATAGTTCATGGGTAGAACAACTACCCATCGTATTACTCAGACTAAGAGCTGCTTATCGCAATGACACTTGTTACAGCGCAGTCGATATTACATACTTAATTATCGTTTACCGGGAGATTTCTTTGACACCTATCTGAATAATTGTATTACTCATGGCTACAATTTATTCGATGAAATTCGCGACACAAATAGTAAATTTAAGCCGGTTGTTAATTATGTTCTTATGTTCTTGAAACCTCTGTGCGACGGTCCTTTCATATCATCACTAATGTTATCTATCCTGGTGTGTAGAAGAAGCTGTTGGATCGCAACTGCTGTTAAATGTCGATTCTGAAGCGAAGTCGTGACAGTAAAGCGATCTTCTCTGGCTTTATTAATGTTTGTTCGTTATAGTACTTGTACACATTTTACTTAAAATAACTAAAGACCCCCGGGATGGAATTTGATGCGCTTTGGTACAGATGATCTTGACTATAATACCTTTCAAACAAATGTAGCTTAAGCCGTGGCGGACGTGGGTGCAGTGTCCATACATTTTTGCCCAATGTCCTTTGAAAAGCGTTATAACCATAAAACAACCAAATGAGCATTTGGCTAATTTTAATTGCGGATATGAGAAAACACAATGAATATTCATATAAGAATGATAGATTCTAAATTCAAATGTAAAATTATGTTTTTTTCATTGTAACAGTATTTTCGGCCAGACTAAATATATAATATCTTAATCAATAGTGCTTTGCCCAAACGTTGAGCGTACGTTGAGATAATTTTAATCAAGTCAATATAACATGACATAATATCCTCTATCTCATTAAACAATTTATCAAAAATGTTTAGATTATGTTATTTCATGTTTAGTAGGTCCTTCATAACACAATTTACTCGTAGAACTTAGAAAAAGTTTTTTCAAACAATGCTGTGTTTTACCATATTGGCAACCATCTTTGTTAGAGAGATGTATCATTGCCATTACTTTGCTACGAGGTTAAAACAAGAGGGTTTATTTATAGGAGCTAAAAGCATTCAGTTTTTTAATAAAAATTAGTAAAATTCCAAGTCAGAACCGAAAAGGAGGCAAGGCCATGCACGATGTTAAGTCATCAAGTCATCGTACTCGTCAACAAAATTGTGATAAGTAAATTATTTCATACGTCTGGTTGCGCTACTGATAATTACATATCACGTGATACACATCATTACGATTCTGTGTTATTACATTAATATATACCTAGTCAGGTCATAAATTCTGTCACATGTTTAATATTAAATAATTGAAACAAGTCTATTCATTATGTTGCCATTTATATACCAAAATGAACTTAACAAAACATAGATTCTTATGACAATAAAGTTTATTCAAAATGACCTCCGTGATTTTGAATACAGGCCTTCAATCTGCGCGACCAGTCATCTATATCGCAGCACGAACGAGGTCCATGTCAATATCGGCGGCTGTCTTAATCAAGGATGTCTTGAGTGACTCCAAATTGGGATGAGGCTTTGAACACGCCTTTTCCTCCAAGTGTTGCCATATCTTGTAATCTAACAGACTCAAATCTGGACTGGAGGAGGGCCAGTCTTCGTGCCGGATAAAATCGATTTGCCTGTTATTGAACATGGTATGAGAAACAGGTTCCACAAGGTTCGTCAGGACTGTATTTTGATACACAACTGCATTCGTTTTTACACCTTTCTCACAAAAATGTACCTCTGTTAAGCCCCAATAAGAAACTCCCAACCATACCATGAGCGAGGATGGAAAATGATCTCGTTGGACACGCGGAATACGGTTGCTCGCTTCTTCACTACTGTGTGCGTACACCTTATCGTTTGATGGTACGCTAAATTAATCTTTTGGTTAAATTAGAATTTTTCAGTATGTCCAAAAATTGAATTGGCTCGTAACCGCAACGATGCAACGCAATAACTGTAACACGGTCTTCTTTAAGCGTCCACTTCATATTTAAAAAACTAATTTTTAAAATTCTAAAAAGTATACATTTTTATTTTCATGAACAATTCGAAATTCGAATTCAATAAACCTTTTTTTGTGGTCAGTATTCTAAAAGAAAAGTTTTTACTGTGTGACAATACTTATGACCTGACTGTGTAGAGCATCATATAATAATTATATTATCTCTTCTTCTATCTCGACATAACTGACTGACTATTGTTTACAACTGTTTTGTATTAACATGCTGACGTTCAAACCTTCATAATCATTAAAAAAAACTTACTATACTGAAATTTTTTCGCAAAATAAATAATGGCTTAATAAAAGAAAAACAAAAAAATTAAAAAAAATGAACAAGGTCAGGATCGCTCTGTGTCGTCTGGTCTGGTGTCGACCCCAAGACCGTTACCGTTCGGCTATCTGTCTCTTGCAGAGAATTACAAAATTACGGATAACTTGTGTCTAATACTGTTATATTTTCGTTACATCGAGTTTAAAAACACAACTGTGCTAAAGAAGTTTTCACTTCAATAACATCGTCGTGGTATCCATGCAACAAATGGTCGCATCACACCACTGGCTAGCTTATATTATAATCCCATCCACGCATATTGCCAGAGGTGCAGTGTAACCCTAACGAATCAGTTCGCTTGAGACACAGCGGTGACACTCTCTGTACGTGAGAGTCAAAGCGTCAGTGACCTTGAGCAGGAGCGTGTATGCGCTAGGGTTGAACTTGAAATTTAGACTTGTGCCAATGAATATTTATGCATAGTAAGTTATTAAATGTAAACTGATTCAAGGATACTGGGGTAAATAATGAAGGATAGGTTTGATTTTATAATCAATTTTTAATCTTTTAATGTAGGTACTATAACAAATTGCTAACTTTTATATCTTTTCTCCTTTTTCGATTCGTTTTATAATTCTTATTATTATCTAAATAATAATAAGATTGCGTAGCGTAGTCAGTCTGTGCGTGCAATGCAGTGTAACGCTATTATTTTACTATTTCGCTACCTGCCATGCCTTCGGTCGAGGCAGTCGGCGACTGCCCTCTCCACGCCCCGCGCACCGCGCAACGCCCCCGCGCACCTCCAGACACCCACACATAGCCGCGGGCGATTTTACGAGCACACATGCTTAAGTGTCGCTTCTTTTCGCGTAGTGTATATATTCTGTGCCTGAGAGGTGGTCTGATATTATCATACGTCATATTCACACCACTCGCCCCACCACTCTCACACCTCTTGTTTGCTCATGGCTCCATTCGTAATGCGTCCCGGAGACGATCAAGTCGACTTGCCAAACGTTCAATGCATGTGTACGACTAGAGAGCCAATCGGCGCAACGCACGCTTTATATAAAAGCCACATCACTTTCATCTGTACGGTCCAGGGTTGCCAGACGTACGAGTAATCTCGTACCATTACGAGATTTAGAGGGTCTGTACGAGATTCAAGATTAACAAAAATCTCGTACACTTTTTTACGAGATTTTAACAATGTCGACTTCTTTCGTATACCTATATCAGCCAAAAAGTTAGTTTAGTTAGTAGTAGTACTTATCATTAACCAACCCACATAAAACGATCGACTCGGCGCATCACTAAATGCACTACCTCATCACTAAATGAAACTTGACAACTTTGAGTGGGGAATTCCCGTTCTTAATATTCTTTTGTTGTTGTCCTTATTACACTGTTTTGCTATATTTGTTCGCTCTCTTACTAAGAGCTATATTGAAGTTAGTAAATTTTTACTTTACCGTCTGCTTTTGTTGTTGAAGTTTCGCAAGTTTTCCGTGTTTTGTTATTTAACGTTTTTAATTACGAAATGAGTGACAGCAGTGACAGTGAATCGTCATCCACTCCACCTAAAAAGGGAGGATGGACTGCAAAGAAAAAAGGTGAGACACGTTTTGAACATCATGCCCAAAAATTTCGGGATGAGTGGTTAAAACATCCGATGTTTAGAGACTGGTTAGAGCCAGACCCAAAAGATTCAAATAAAGCGAAGTGTGCATTCTGTCCAGCAAGTTCCTTGGTTGCTGAAATAACAAATCTGAAATCTCATGCCGAATCGAAAAAACATTTGAAAAACAAACCTGGTTCGTCCCAAAAGTTGACTTCATTTGGTTTCAAGATGGGCGCAACTCCAAAAAACAAACAAAAGGATCGTGCAGAAATAAAACTAGCTGGGTTTTTTGCAGCACATAATATTGCTTTTTCTGTTGCTGACCATTTAACGGATCTACTTAAAGACATTTTTCCAGATTCAAAATTAGTTCAAGAAATTGAACTTAAGCGCACAAAAGTTACAGCTGTGGTAAAAAATGCAATTGGAGAGGGTCATAAAGCAGACTTAGCGAAGAAATTGACGACCACCAAGTTTTCTGCGCTTACTGATGAAACTACTGACGTATCAAAAATTAAGACAGCTTGTGTGGTTGTTCGCTATTTTGACAATGATGCTCAAAAAATCTGCAGCGTGTTCTGGGAACTGTATAAGATTTTTAAAGAGACGGGCACCGATGACGTTCCTACAGCGAACGCTGGAAATATATACAGAGCGCTGATGGATTCATTTAATAACCGTAACATCCCACTAACAAATATGATTGGTTTTGGATCTGATGGATGCAATGTTATGATGGGCGACAGAGATCCAGTCAAAACTCGTTTATTGCGAGATTTACCAGGGATAACAATTTCAAAATGTGTTTGTCATTCAGCCCACTTAAGTGCAAGCCAGGCTTGTAAAGATATTCCAGAATCTGTAGAACAGCTTGCTCGTGACATATATAACTTCTTCAAAAACAGTGACAAGCGACAGTTTGATTATCGCAAATTGCAATCATTTGTTGAAGTTGACCCACACAAAATATTAAAACCGTCTCAAACAAGATGGCTTTCGCTGGCTGCAGTAGTCGGAAGAATCCTGGAGCAATGGGAAGCTTTGCGCTTATTTTTTATTGATTTTACGGCGAACCCAATTCATAAAGTAATAGCTGAGGTGAAAAATCATGCAGTATCAATTTTAGAAAAACTGTGTGATCCTTTCCACAAGTTATACTTCTGTTTTTTGGAATGGTTATTGCCTTTGTTCACGCAATTCAATCTAGAATTCCAAAGTGAAAAAGTTGTTATTGTTGTTGTTGTTGTATGCACGATAAAATTCGAGATCTATACTAAGAAATTCTTCTACGTTACTTAAAACGAGAGTACGTCATGCAGCCGAATATAACTCAAGTAGACCCTAAAAATGAGCAATTCATGTTAAATGAAGCTGCAATGTATCTCGGCATTAAAGTTTATGAAATGCTAAAACACCCTGACGTAGTTAGGCAACCCCTGAAGAAAACAATGTTCTTCACAAACTGCAGAAATTTCCTCAGGACTGGTGCATTGGAAATAAAAAAACATTACGACATGGAAGATCCCGTTTTTTCCAAACTCCAAGCTCTCGGACCAGCATCAGCTCTCTCCAACGATTTCAGAGAACACGTCCCAACATTGATGCCTCTGATGGAAGTCGTGCCACGTATAATTGCATCGTTTGATGACACTAAAAAACAACAAATAGATGATCAGTGGAGAAGATAACCGATTGCAAAAGCCCGCCATCCTGCAGAGCTTAAAAATACCACAGAGCCAAATCGCCCAAAACTCATCAGTTTTGGGCGATGTTACAAAGAACAGAAGATTTCTTCGAGTTGGCCAGTTTTGCCCTCGCAGTCTTGGCTTTGCCTCATGCAAATGCAGACTGTGAGCGGGTATTTAGTAAGACTAACCTAATAAAAACAGATTTAAGAAATCTTATCACAGATACAGTAAATGGTACACTTTTAGCTTCCGAAAGCGCTTTAGGCCCAAATCGCAAAGGTAATTGCGTAAATTTCGAACCATCAAAAGAAATGTACGCCAGAATGACAGCTGAAAAGCTATACTCTAAAAATAAAGATGATTTTACTAACATCCCTGATGTCGAATATAATTAATAAAAAATATGATTTTTAATTGTTTTGTTTGAATTTAACAGCCCCAAGCGCAAAGAATATGACTACACAAGTTACATAGTACGGTAAATAGCATAAAATCCTTAATTTTATTTGAGTTTCTTTAAATTTATGCTTTTACGAGATTATCTGTTGAAATTACGAGATATTTAGCAACCCTGGTACGAGAAAAAAAAATGTCATCTGGCAACCCTGGTACGGTCAGTAGGTCACACAATCAGTTGCATTCGAAAGGTACCATCGCGAACACGCGTCAAGTGCGATAAGCCGTTTTCAAAGGCGCGAAAGCAAAACAGTTACCGCGCGACCACAGTCTTGAGCACGTGTTGTTGCAATACAAACAATTATATTTTTAACTTTAACAATGGCGTTCCTGAAAATTGTCATCGGAATATACGTAATTCTGCTCGTTTTGGCAAGTGCTGAGAGTGACATCATCAGGAGTGTTAAATGCCCTGAAGGTATGATTTGGATTCGGCTCTTCGGCTGCCAGCCTTACAACGAGTAAGTACCGTGAATTTATTTATTTAACAGAATAAAAAGCGACGACGTTAGGTTCTCTCTGTAAATAAAATAAGGCGCCAGAAAGGCGAATACCACAGAACGTGGTTCCACCTATATGTAGGAATCTTTTTCTACTGGAAGTACGAGTACAGCTGATATAAGAGTATAATAAGTACTGTGATAGATTGATTTTGGGCACAGCAATATTTCGCTGGAATCGGATAGGTAGCCAGCAAGCCGTCTAGGAAGGTAACCTTCATTGGGGAATGGGTCTGTGACTGTCACTTTACTGTTGTTTCATTGCATTTTTAATTAATATTTTAATCTTGAAATCTTTCCTTGCCTGATACCTTGGTCAAGTTCCCTTATTATGTAGAGTTGTGTTCTAGTTGTGAATAAATTTTAAAATTTTATTACAGTGATAATAGGTTTTAGACTAATGATGCAGAAGAATCTTTTTTCTGTCGTACTATTGCTATTGCTTAACCTAATAAAAAAATATAAAGATGGCGAAACTTTGCTACTCTACAACTAGACTAACTATAGTGCTTGCTTTGTTAGAATTAGTTAAAATGAACAAGTTAATCGATCTTATTGCGTATGATTCGATACAATTATTTATTTATTTTAAGTTTAAAAATCAGCTGTAAAATTACGTATTAGCTATAAAAAGCCTCTAAGCTGTTTAAATTATGCTATGTAGCCTTTAATGGTGAATGGTTAATATTGTGATACATAGGTACTTTTGAACTTTTTAAGTTATTATTATACAGTCTGTAACTTAGACGAATAGAGAACTGGGGACCTAAAAAGGCTGTATTCAGCAATTCTCATTAGATTCTTAAAGTGATTCATATTGAAAATCACAAAATGGCCACTTAGGCGATAATTCATATTAAGATTCGGATACAATCATTCATTTGACAATTTTCTATGAGGATTCGCAAAATGGTCGACAAAATAGGAATTGCTGAAGTATCAATTAGCAGATTCATAAAAAGTTACTCAAGAGTACACTACAAATAAGTGTCAATTTTACGAAAATTAGAGCAATTGCTTAAGATCTGCAAGGAATTCTGTAAATGAATTACTTTTAGCAATATTGCACAATTTGACCTTTTTAGGTCCCCTGGTCACATGCTTGATTTCCGGTCTGTGTGGCCGCCATATTGTCTACTGTAGCCATTCTCGTAACACGAGCGTAATATTTTCTTAATATTTTTTTGATTACAATTACAATACAAAGTGACCTTTGGTGAAATTTTAAGCTTGTTCGGTCTTCGATGTGGAATTTAAGCGGATAGATAGGATAGATTCAATATCGTTGATTAAACGAGATAAATATGTAGATGGATGGATGTTCGTTCAAGAAGAAAAGTTTACATTTACATTAAAAAATAGTTTAAGTAGGTATATACTTTTTATTATTATCTTTTCCTGTTTCACAAGCTTTTATTATGATTCATTTGTCCCGGTGTCTGTTTTTTCATGCAATAAAATCTTGCAAATTGCCGGTTGTATGTAAAACGGATAGCTACATATGCAGTATCATTATTAACATAAAGCTGTTCTCATGATGGAGTTGGTTGCTTAGCCGTGCAATAAAGAACGTAATCCGTAGAGTTAGAAAAGGACTCTGTTTTTACAAGCTTTTATTTAACTTGCAATGTATGTTTGTTCGGGTCAAATCTTACAACTCCATTTTAAAGCACTTGCCCTCAACCGATTAAGCTGAAATTTGGAATTCTCGTTCAGTTTGGATGACAATGCATGATTAACAGTATGACGTCATTCTAAATCCAATATGGCGGCATACCCAAAATGGCGGACCAATCATTTTTATTGCATTCCTACAATATGGGTATCAAATTAAAGGGCTTGCTGAGAGTAACTCGAAAAAAATATGACATCACTCTTAATCCAATATGGCGGACTTCTAAAATTTAAAAATCAATTTAGAAACAGATATTTTTAACCGATTGAGCTGAAATTTTGCATACACGTTCAGTTTGGATGACAATGCATGGTTAACAGTGTGACGTCATTCCAAATCATTTTTGATGCATTCCTACAATATGGGTATCAAATTAAAGGGCTTGCTGAGAATAACTCGAAAAATAATGTGACGTCACTCTTAATCCAATATGGCAGACTATTAAAACTCAAATATCAATTTTGAAACAGATATATTTAAGCAATTGAATTGAAATTTTGTATGCACGTTCAGTTTGGATGACAAGGCATGGTTAACTGTATGACGTCATTCCAAATTCAACTTTGCAGAACACCAAAAACGGCGGATAATTTTCTTTTATTCATGCCTACAATATGGGTTAGTTAGTTAGTTCTTCAGGGCGGTTTCCGTACTTAGTCCTAATTATTGGACCATTGTGCGTGTCTCAAAAACATTCGCGTTTACTCCAGCCAGCCTATATCGGTCCAGAAGGAAAGCAACCTTGGTAGACTGCTGCAAGCTTCCGGAAACGATTCTGGTGACTGGAGAAGTCGTGCCCGTTGGTCGGCCACACTCCTGCATTCCATGATGACAGCATGACATGCTGTGGCGTTTCTTCTGCCTCCATGCATCCTCTGCATAGGGGGCTGTCCGTTACTCCTATTGTATATAGGTGTTTGTTTAGGGGACAATGACCAGTCAGGGATCCTATAATCCTGCGAAGTTTGTCCCTATTTAGTCTGGTAAGGGTGCGGGCAAAATATTTATTTGCAGCCGGAACCGCGTTTTTCGTTTGCCGGCATCGTTCACCTGTTTTCCACTCCGTCAAGTGTGATTTTTGAGTTATTTCACGCAGCCACGTTTTAATTTGGACCTGAAGTATGGGAAGCAAAGGTTCCGGACCATACACTTTTGTGTCAGCTCCCCTCTTAGCCAATTCGTCTGCTGCGTCATTTGCAATTGAGCTGCTGTGTCCTTTTATCCATTGCAGAGTTACCGTGTTGCTAACCGCAATGGATTAAAGTGCCTTGTGGCACTCCAATACTAGGACAGAGTTTATTGTGTTGCTACGTAGGACTTGAAGCACAGATGCACTGTCAGAGATGATCTTGATGTTATACTCTCTGATATCTCTGGCTGCAACCGCCAGTGCCGCTCTGGTAATGCCAATACATTCCGCCTGGAAGATTGTGCTTTGTTTGCCTACAATATGGGTATGACATGAAAGGTCTTGCTGAGAAAACTCTTGAAGAGTATATTTTGTCTTTACATGGTATCTGTATGCATGTATGTACATATGTGTGTATGTATGTATGTGGGTATGTATGAATGTATGTACGTATGTGCATATTTGTGTATGGGTATAAGCATTTGATATGATATCATGTTGGTTTAGTTAGGGTTGTAGCATGAACTAGTTAATATATTTTTGGCGGAATAGGCGTCAACAGCATTGGTTTGCAACCTGTCTACGAGAAGGACAACTCCGTTACCTCCCGTGAGAGGAAATCAAGTGTTTGATCAACCTACTAGGTTTATCCCAGCAACACACTTATGGCGCTCTTTCTTGTTAATTGAATTAACCGAAAATATGCGACAACAAGGTAGCACTTTTAAAGACCTCTTAAACGCATTAAGAGTTGGTGAACTTCAATCTGAACATTTTGCTATTTTAATGAATCGACTAAACAAAGAACCGACAGATGAATTTGCAATTGAAAAGGCCCTTCGAATTTATCCCACTAACCAACAAGTATATGACCATAACAAAAGTGTTCTCGAACATTTCCGGACTCAAAGTATAACTATCAACAAAATAAGAGCACAGGATAGTCTACTAGATAGTACTCAAAACAATGACAAGGTGGATTTAAATAATATTATACCATCTGATATAAGACTGGAGGGTTTCCTAAGGAGTTAGAAATATTTGTTGCGGCGAAAGTAATGTTACGGTACAATGTAGATGTATCTAAGGGTCTTGTGAATGGTGCAATCGGATATATAACAGAAATATTATGGCCGTGCTTCCGGAGAGCACAAATATATGATACTGACATACCTATACGGACGTATAGACTTCGGTAAAGACGGCGTTCATCTCATTCAACCTAAGACTGTGCAATTTCCAGCAAAATATAGTCACGGCACTGCAGAAAGGAGAATGATACCAATTATATTATGTTGGGCTTGTACGGTACACAAAATGCAGGGTGGTACCGTCGACCATGCCGTTGTATACTTGGGCTCGAAGCTCTTTGCCGCTGGTCAAGCATATGTGGCCTTAAGTAGGGTGAAATCATTAGAAGGGCTCCTCATTGAAGAGCTGGACTGCTCAAAATTAACTGGCAAACGAACTTGCAATAATGATGCGTTGAATGAGATAAACAGACTTAGTAACTTATCAGGTGAAAACGAAAAAGTATAAAATAAAATTAAGGTAAAAAAAACCTTTTTAAAAACCAGCTTTTATTTAAATAAGCTAAAAAGAAAAAAAATAAACTTATACACTAACACTTTTACTGTTAACTTATAACGTCATTTCAAATTTAACACATTTGACACAATTTATATTATGTTATAAAAGCTTGTCGCGAGCGGCGAGAGTACTCGTATTTACTTGCT